CATTTGGGAGAGTGTCAGTCTTATGTTGCAGGAGATTCGCCACTCCGGGGCGGCTAGGGTCATCATTGTATTGGTAATTCCAAGTATTGCCTGTGAACGTCATGTGCTTCAACGCAATGATGCGACTGATTAACTTTAAACCCTATATGACAAGTACTGTGAAATTTGTAATTATATTGTGAAGATTTTGATCCAAATTGGTTACGAGTTTACCCCTGGCTTGAAAAAAGTGAAGACAGTAATAGAAAGGCGACCAATGTTTTTTGAAAAGTGTAAATAAAATTTATCAAGTGTTTTTATAATTTATTTTATTATGTAAAATTATCCGCATTCCAAACATATACCAACCATCTTTTAAACAAACTGATGATGGATATCGAAAAATTGTTGACATGTATTCATCAAAATGGCCTTCTCAAAATAAAATTGTATAAATATCCAAACAAGCTGGTGCTATATTATCAAACAGATCTAAAAAGGGATAAACTTGCAAAATTCCGGTTGACTGCAAATCTCTGCTAACTACATTCTAGAATCAATAAATTTTTTGTTAATGATGTTTTGAGATGGTGGGATCAAATTAGCCATTTTACAAAATTCATCTATGCTAAAGATCCTATTATAACACCCAGTGTTGTTATGCAATGGAATTGGGAATCTGTAATTATGTGTTTCAGTGTTCCAGCCTTTTTCACTGGAATACAAGGTTACATAAAATTTGAAAGAAAAATTTTAAAATTTCTAATGGGTAAACAAATTTAAAGAAAGCAATTGTTTCTTCATTTTCTACCCATTGGAATGATTAGCCATTAGAGACTGTCATTCTTAACATTAACATTTCAAATATTTGTTGTTCACTTTGTTGTAAAGGCCTACCAAGATAATGATTTAATGTTAATTTGAGAATCATTTCTTACATGTTTAAATAAGTAGAAATTTCTGAAAAAATATTATCTTCAATATTAATAATACCAGTATTACCTAAATATTAATTAAATTGTTAAATATTTACCAGATCATTTGATCTATTTTGCAATTCTTTTTGTTTGATTATTTCAAGATGATTTTCTACAAATTCAATTTTATTAGAATAGCAAGTTTTAAAATTTTCATGATCTAATAAGTGTTTCCCAATGCTTTTCATTGTGTTTGAAATTTTGGACTTCTGTTTTAGCATTATTGAATCTTTTTTTGTTGTACATCCTTTACAGATTGTAAGATAATTGCTCTGATTATCTTTATATTTTTATCAGTATAAATAAATTCATGAAATACATGATTTGGTTTTCTGCAAACTTTTTTTTATCAAAATGGGTTAGTCACATTGGAATAATCATTGGAACACTGGAATCACTGGAATATGAAAAAATTCCAGTGTTCCAATGTGGCGCATAACACCCCTTGTTCCATTGAGTATTCCAGTGGTGTTCCAGTATTCCATGTTCCAGTTATTTGTCACTGGAATAAAAATTTAACATCCCTGGTCTTAATCAAATTTTTAGTGCCATGCATCACTGTTCAAGCAGTTTTGTCTAATCAGGACATCAGTCAACACAAGTCTGAATTAGACTAGGAACCCAAAAAACAATAATATAATGAACCAACCTTGTCTAACCTTAAACTCAAATTGGTAATAGATGATTCTATTTCATTCCAAAATATCTTGACATCATGGTATCTTTCGCAGTGATTCTTATATAGTAGTCAGAAGTCAAGAGGTGAGTGAGTATAGTGATTGAGGAAACAGTATAAAAAAAAAACTAGCAATGAATGGAAGCTGGTCACAACAGACACATAACAAGTACACAAGCCATAAAGTGAACAGTATGCAAGTGTTCACTGTAGTTGTGTGCACAAGAGAAAATCTTGTGATATACAACAGATATGCAATCATCAGAGAGCAGGGCGCACAATAAACTCTCCTAGTCACATAATTATTTGCCTTAAAATCCTGTAACAATTTCCTTACGACTGTTTTAACTTCTTCTGAATCAACATTCATTAGTTTGTTGAGATCATTCTTGAGTTTAAGGGCCTCCCTTCTATAAGAAAAAGTGAAATCATGTTGCTGCTGATGACACTGATAGAAACTCAGAAAGCTGTAATCTCTCACTGAAGTTTCATGAAAGTAAGCAGAGAACTTGTTTGACATTATTGATGATAAATTGAAGTCAAATAAGAAGTTATCTAAATAATATAAATGTTTTGCACCAGGTGACTTTAAAAACAGAAATTAAATAAGATCAACCAATGAAAAATCGCATGTACTATTAATTTTTATTATATTATATTTCTACAGAACTTATTAGATCAGTAAGAGAACAATATGATTCAAATTCTATAGCTTATTTTCACTAAAATCTAAATATATTGATATACTTAACAATCATGCAATATAGAATTAATATATAGATATA